CCTACTTTCAGACTACCTACTTTCAGACTACCTACTTTCAGACTACCTACTCTCAGACTACCTACTTTCAGACTACCTACTTTCAGACTTCCAGACGCCCATATGAATGTTGTTTCTCTACAGACCTGCTAAGAGAATCAAAACAACATTTAGTAGTTTTCCAATTTCTAAAGAACTTTAATTTCAACCTACACTACTACATTCTCTTTCAATCTCTTATAGTTATATATTTTAGTTCTATCTCTCAGAGCTAGTGCTGAGTTATTAAACAACTAATTGACCAACGTCGGTTCAATTAGTTGAATTCCATTTAGTTCTTTTTTTGTGTGAGCTCAGCACGCCGTTTCTCTAGAGAAATCAAATCATTCACGAGATAAATTAAATCAAGAACTACTGTATGTGGGACGCTGGGAGTTTCCATTAGGCAAATATGCAACCTAGTTCAGCGCAGAAACATGGTTATTAACTACAATGACCATAATCCATTGCACCTGTTCTTCCCGGCTTGGACAGAGAAGGATAGCCTACACACAGACTGCATAAGAGAGGAATGTACAGACGAGGGTTAGAGACCATTGGTGAGGTAGCTCTGCCCGATTGATAGTTGTAGAAGTTAGGGCATACATTCAAGACTGCGAATTACTATGTACTTTGAAGAACTAGTCAAATGATTTTGTCAGACAGCTCTGCAGCGTACTTAGGCAGCTACTAGCCTAGCTAAATAGGATGACTCAAAGACAGTACAGTATGGGGAGCACAGAGATAATGTTAGATGGTTGTCTGGCTGGCTGAGATGAGATGATGACTTTAAGGAATAAAAAATTAAAAGGTCATCAAATAAAAATGAAGAAATACGTATACACAACTGAAATATTTCATTTTTCATAGTAATTTCCTCTTTCTATTGATGTCTACCCAATGTGGACCTGACAGAGACAATGGAATGTTTTCAATATTTTGGCATTTGAATGTTCACTATTTGTGGCTTTGGAATTTCCATTAAAAATCTCAAATCACTTTAAAGTCATTATTTCCTAATGCATTTCATGTTTAAAAAAGTATCAAAAACTACATTGAAAAAACAAGATACTTTTTTATTAACCCAAACCGACCTCAAAAAGCACTAATCGCTCAGAGAAAATCTATTCCCTCTAGTGCACTACTACTATAAGTAAAACACAGTGCATCAGAAGTAGTGCACTATAGAGGAAATAACACTACTTCTGACCAAATGTAGGACACTATACAGGGAATAGTGTGCCATAAGTAGTGCACTATGGAGTGAATAGGGTTCCAGTTGAGTTTGGTTCTAGTACTGTCCATAGTGAAGCAAGAAGTGCCACACTGAGGTCAGGTTTCTAGTTTCTACATTCCATGATGGTTTAATTTGCTTTCAGTGGCATCAAGTTTCCTTTGTGTTTCCTGGAGGCAGAGAGAGCAGTGGGATTACAATAGCTACCTGGCACTGTCTGTCTGTCTGTCTGTGTTTCTTCCTTCCTGCCTGCCTGCCAGCCAGAGGTTGACTTTAAGATAAGATATGATGACTGTTAACACAACAGTTTATAGTAAACAGTAGGCAGCTAGCTGATAGTACTACAGTAATTATCCAAACAAAACCTACCGTATCTACCCTGAACCTACCGTATCTACCCTGAAACTACCGTATCTACCCTGAAACTACCGTATCTACCCTGAACCTACCGTATCTACCCTGAACCACCCCACATCTCTCCAAGTCACCCCATATGTAACATGTCCTCAGCCGTAAGGGACTTAACCGTTTTGGGGAAGGTCAGAGATGGTGGATGTGAGGACATTCAGGCCGGCGGGAGCTCACCCTGATCCTGTCACCTTTCTCTTGACCTAAGCCTGGGGTCGCTAGGTTATCACAGCACGACCACAGGACCAGACAGTAGCGTAAATCCCAGTTAAAAGTCAAACACAGTGCACAGCTTGTTTATCTGCGTTTGTTTGAATCCCAGTTTGTTTCAAAATGTAGATGAGCCGTTCTAATGTTATCTACCTGGATTATTGTGGTGTACTATGGCTGTGGTGTTTATGGTTTTATGCTGGTATTGAAACGTCCCTCTCATCGTTTGCTTTTTTTCTGACTGTATGTAACTCTCATGTGAAACAGTGTTTTCTGGGCTGTTTAAAAGTATGACACACATTGTTATGTATCCCACATCCACTTATTGAGATTACCAACAAACAACTCTTCTCATCTCTAAGCCATTATAGAGCTAAAAACAACGTTGGCCTGCCAAACTTTCAGCTTTGGTTTAGACACTACAATAGTACTTATACTCAACTCAATAGTGGTCAGTTATAAAACTCAATAGAACTCAGTCTGGCAGTCTCTCGTGAGACTGTTAATGGAAGCTAATGGTCCATCTCTCTCTTCTTTTCTCTTCTCTTCTCTTTTCTAGTCTCTCTCTCTCTCTCTCTCTCTCTCTCTCTCTCTCTCTCTCTCTCTCTCTCTCTCTCTGTGTGTGTATCTCTCATCTTCTTTTTTACTAATGGATAGGTTCTCTCTCTGGCTTTATAATTTTGAAAGTAGTCTGTCATCTAACTACGTTTTCTATGATTGATGAAATGGACAAAATAAACAAACAGGGCGTCTGTCTAGAAAATAACCTCTCTCTCTTTTCTTTCTCTCTCCAGGGTCAGACCTGGGATACAGAAGGTTCTTCTAGAGATGAGTTCTATGATGATGAAGACCTCTTCTCAGGCTCCGGATCTGGCTGTGAGTGTGTAGTGTGTGTGTGTGTGTGTGTACATAGGCCGCCAACACGTTCAAACATGCCTATGTTAGATTGTGTGTGTGTGAACATTCTCTGCAGCCTGTTGGTTTAAGAGGTGACAGCTGCTGTGTTTACAGTGCCTTGCAAAAGTATTCATCCCCCTGGCGTTTGTCCTATTTTGTTGCATTACAACCTGTAATTTAAATGGATTTTTATTTGGATTTCATGTAATGGACATACACAAAATAGTCCAAATTCGTGAAGTGAAATGAAAAAAATTCAATAACGGAAAAGTGGTGCGTGCATATGTATTCACCCCTTTTGCTATGAAGCCCCTAAATAAGATCTGGTGCAACCAATTACCTTCAGAAGTCACATAATTAGTTAGATTGCACACAGTTGGACTTTATTTAAGTGTCACATGATATGTCACATGATCTCAGTATATATACACCTGTTCTGAAAGGCCCCAGAGTCTGCAACACCACTAAGCAAGGGGCACCACCAAGCAAGCGGCACCATGAAGACCAAGGAGCTCTCCAAACAGGTCAAGGACAAAGTTGTGGAGAAGTACAGATCAGGGTTATCCGAAACTTTGAACATCCCACGGAGCACCATTAAATCCATTATTAAAAAATTGAAAGAATATGGCACCACAACAAACCTGCCAAGAGAGGGTCGCCCACCAAAACTCACGGACCAGGCAAGGAGGGCATTAATCAGAGAGGCAACAAAGAGACCAAATATAACCCTGAAGGAGCTGCAAAGCCCAACAGCGGAGATTGGAGGATCTGTCCATAGGACCACTTTAAGCTGTACACTCCACGGAGCTGGGCTTTAAGGAAGAGTGGCCAGAAAAAAAGCCATTGCTTAAAGAAAAAAATAAGCTAACACGTTTGGTGTTCGCCAAAATGCATGTGGGAGACTCCACAAACATACGGGAGAAGGTACTCTGGTCAGATGAGACTAAAATTGAGCTTTTTGGCCATCAAGGAAAACGCTATGTCTGGCGCAAACCCAACACCTCTTATCACCCCGAGAACACCATCCCCACAGTGAAGAATGGTGGTGGCAGCATCATGCTGTGGGGATGTTTTTCATCAGCAGGGACTGGGAAACTGGTCAGAATTGAAGGAATGATGGATGGCGCTAAATACAGGGAAATTCTTGAGGGAAACCTGTTTCAGTCTTCCAGAGATTTGAGACTGGGACGGAGGTTCACCTTCCAGCAGGACAATGACCCTAAGCATACTGCTAAAGCAACACTCGAGTGGTTTAAGGGGAAACATTTAAAAACTTGGAATGGCCTATTCAAAGCCCAGACCTCAATCCAATTGAGAATCTGTGGTATGACTTAAAGATTGCTGTACACCAGCGGAACCCATCCAACTTGAAGGAGCTGGAGCAGTTTTGCCTTGAAGAATGGGCAAAGATCCCAGTGGCTAGATGTGCCAAGCTTATAGAGACATATACCCCAAGAGACTTGCAGCTGTAATTGAGGTAAAAGGTGGCTCTACAAAGTATTGACTTTGGGGGGTGAATAGTTATGCAAGTGTTCTGTTTTTTAGTCTTATTTCTTGTTTGTTTCACAATAAAAAATATTTTGCATCTTCAAAGTGGTAGGCATGTTGTGTAAATCAAATGATACAAACCCCCCAAAAATCCATTTTAATTCCAGGTTGTAAGGCAACAAAATAGGAAAAATACCAAGGGGGTGAATACTTTCGCAAGCCACTATAAATCTGCAGCTCTGACTCCCAACCCCAAATCTGAGGTCAAACTAAACACAGGGACTACATGCACATAAACGCACACGTACACGCCGTGCATTAACCAAACACAGGAACTGAACACACACACTCAGACTGAACGCGCGCACACACCCCCCCCAGTAGCCAGGCCTTCACCCAGATTAAGTGATTTTATTTACTGTAATCTGATTACAGACAGCAGATCAGATGATCTAATGCAGACAGGCCATTGTGTGTGTGTTTAGTTTACGTATGTGTGTTCGGTTTCTGTGTCCCGTTCCCGTGTTTGATTAATGCACGTGCGTGTGCGTGTGTAGCATTACCTCCATAACTCTTGTTGTAAGAGGCCTTTGTTTCTTTCAGATTAGCTTCTATGACTGTATTTAGCCATTCTATCTCTGTTTCTCGCTCTTCCTCTCTCGTTTCCTCTCACTCTGATACATTTTTTGTTCATATTTAGTTTAACAATGAATCCCTCTCCTTCCCTCTTTCTTTCTCTCCATAGTTCCAGAGATGAAGGTCAACCCTACAGCGGTGGGTGTGTCTTTCACCACTGAGGAGCCCCTCCCCCTTTCCACCACCCAGGCCACTGGCCCCGCCCCCTCGGCCCCACCTGCAGCCGAGCCCAATCCCAACCCTGACGCTCTCCCCACCCCACTACCCACTGAGGGAGAGGGGGAGAGTGGGGTAGAGTGGGAGAGGGGGAGGGAGAGGGAGAGGGAAAGAGAGAGAGTAAGGGAGATGGAGCGGGAGAGAGAACGAGAGCGAGAGAGGGAAAGAGAGAGGGAGAGAGAAAAGGAGAGGGATAGAGAACGAGAAAGAGAGAGGCAACGGGAAATAGAGAGGGAACGAGAAAGAGAACGTGAAAGAGAAAGAGCGAGAGCCGCCCAGACTACCATCTCACCCCACGGCGCTGCGGCTGTTCCCATGGTGACCACCAGCACAGCGACGCCTCTGGCGGAGAGCGCGGCACCCTCTAGTGGTGTGGAGGACCTGGTCACCACAGAAGAGGACGAGGATGTCTACCTGTCCCCAGACCCCACCACCAGTATGCCTATGGAGACCACTACGGAAGAAGAAGAAGAGGAAGAAGTGACCACTGCAGAGACAGAGACCACACCCCTCCCAGAGACAACAGCTCCACCCATTACGACTGGCCCAGCCTTAACTGAGAGGTCTAGCTCCGCCCCCTTCAAGCCCAGGGTTCTGGTGACCACGCCTACTAAAGCCGCGCCCACAGAGATGAGCACACGCCCACAGCAGCCTTCTACGACAATGGTGTGTGTTTGTGTGTATCCTGTGTGTATTTATCCATCACGTGGAGTGAGAGATGCAGGTGGTCCTCGTTAGTAGGATCGTTAATGATTAATTACATGATTATCATCCAGCTAAATAGAGACAATGTGACATTTATTTGGGTTCTCTATCTGTGTTGAGTGAACTGACATGGTAATTGTGTGTTTCTCTCTCTCTCTCACTCTTGCCACCTTTCTTTATTTTGCGCTCTCTCTCTCTCTCTCTCTCTCTCTCTCTCTCTCTCTCTCTCTCTCCCCCTCTCTGTCTATCTCTCTCTCTCTCTCTGGCTCTCTCTCTCTCTCTCTCTCCCCCTCTCTGGCTCTCTCTCTCTCTCCGTGACTCTCTCTGGCTCTCTCTGTCTCCCCTTTCTCTTTCTCTGGCTCTCTCTCTCTCTCTCTCTCTCTCTCTCTCTCTCTCTCTCTCTCTCTCTCTCTCTGGCTCTCTCTCTCTCTCTCTCAGAATAATGAGTTAGGGGTTAATGGACCCAGTGGAGACTTTGAGATCCGGGAGGAGGACCGTCGCCAGGGCAACGAGGTTGTTGGGCGTGGCCGTGGCATGGAGACTGGGGCAGAACCTGATCTGATTGGCAACACAATTAACACAGGAAGTTCTGCCGCTCAACTTCCTCAGAAGAACATCCTGGAGAGGAAGGAGGTTCTGATAGGTGAGGACACACACACTTATTTAACACTGTCTGTCGATCTGTCTGAAAAATTAAACCACCCATAGCAAACCTTTCCCTCTTCTAGTATATCTCACTCCATCTCTCTCTTTCTCGCCGTATTCTTCTGACGGGGCGTAACCGTTCTGTCTTTATTCTGATTGGCTGTCTGTCTCTCCCCCAGCCATTCTGATTGCTTGCCTGCTGGCGGTGGTTTTCGCTGACTTCGTGGTGATCGGTAAAGAGCAGGAGTCAAAGCAGGCTAACTGTGTCCTTAGTGTGTCTGTGCCCTGGACACACATGCTGTTAGTGTGTTGTAGTGTGTGTAGGAACAGTAGCCCACACATGATTTGTGTGTCTTAGTGACACAGGATCTTAATATGTAGGGACAGTCATGACACATTATGTTAGCGTGTACTATGTAGATACTATGTAACAACACACAGCTTTGGGTATGATAGATGATAATTACAGATGTCAGATCATATGTTAGCATTGCCTGCAGTGCTTAAAGTGGTACTTGAAGATGCCGGTACTCACTAAACTCATTCAATTTACCGTACCGGGGTTATTGTATTATATTTTAATCTATTTAGATTCCCTATTCTCCAGTAGGCATATATAAGCAGTAGAAAATTAGAGACACCAGTGGTCTGTATACCAGTGGTCAGCACTAGCCCACTTCAACCACTTGCATGGCATTAGTGTATGTGTCTCTGTGTGTTCTGAATCTTTTGTCCTATTCAGAATGAGTTCTACATTGTTTGACCATATGTCTCTCTCTCTGTTTCCCCCACCCTCTTTCTTTCTCTCTCTCCCTTCCTCCCGCTCTGTCTCTCCCACCCTCTCCTCACCATCCCTTCCTCTATCTCTCCCTCCACAGCGGTGATAGTGGGAGGCGTGGTGGGGGCCCTGTTCGCAGCGTTCCTGGTCATGCTGCTGGTGTACAGGATGAAGAAGAAGGATGAAGGCAGCTACACGCTGGAGGAACCCAAGCAGGCCACTGTCACCTACCAGAAAGCTGACAAACAGGAGGAGTTCTACGCATAACACAGAGAGAGAGAGAGAGATGTTTATCACTCCAGCTCCCTTCCCATCCTGTCGCTTCACCTCTCCTTCCCATCCTTCCCCCCCTCTCTTCTCTCCTATGCTCCTGTCCTCCATGCCAGTTGTTCCTGAGAGTGCCCGTCTCTCCGTGGACTCAGAAATTTCTTTAAAAAATATAAATAAAATAAAAAGAACAGTTTGAAAAAAAAATACATAAACACATGATACACACAAATGTTTTAGTTTTTTTAAGTAAATGTTGTTATTGATATTATGATTATTGTTCTGATGATGTAATGAACTGATTATTTTGTAAAAACACAAGCTCTTATCCAGTGTTCCAGCACAATACTCTAGTGTCTGTTCCACGAAGCGAATGAGCCAAGAGAAAGAGGGATGGGGGAGAAGAAGGGAGAGAGACAGAGACAAACAGAGGAGGAAGGAGAGGGTGTCATCTGATTGGCCACACAGACACTGGGGTCAAAGGTTAGAGGAAAGGTCTCTATTGTAGTGCCTTCCATCGTCCTGGTGCTCACTCTCTCTCTCTCACACACACACACACACACACACGGCTTGGACCCCTCTCTCTGTGCTTGGCCAATCGGAGTAGGGGAACCCTCCCACAACGCTCTGACAACCTCAGGACAACGTTGTGGCAACATTCACTGGTAGTTAGCAAGGGATTCTAACCAGGGATATAGTGGTAAATAAAATGGTGGGTAAACAAACCGCTGGGGTAACATAAACGTTAGCTAATGCTAACAACGCTACCTGATCGTAGTAGTTGTGTATACACTGTTCACCAAGTAAAGGGGTGTTTAAACAACAGATTACGAGTGTTTACCCTCCACTACATCCCTGGGTCGTATTCATTAGGCACCAAACGAAGAAAACAGACAAACAGGGAGAGGGACTACCTGGACTTGTCCAATAAATGCTAATTTCCGTATTCCATTGCAAAACGTTTTACAACGTTTTCCGTTGTGTGTCAATGAATATGACCCTGGTGCTGTATGCTAACACAAAGGTGATTAGTTATGGATAGTAATAATCAATAATATATCAATGTTCTGGGCTGGTTGGTAAATAATAATGATAATAATACTCGAACGAACGAGAAGATGTGTATTTAGCGGTCTCAAAGGTTTATATGTAAATATCATTGTTTGAAAAACTTTTTCTGTCGTTGTCACTAACCATTCGCATGATCACCATTTCTATATCACGTCAATCTGTGGAGCTGTGCTCTCAACACACACACACACAAGTACGCGCTCACACACTTAAGCGTATATACACACGCACATGCAAGCACGCTCACACACAAATATATCACCTGCGCTTCATTGACTAAATATATATATATATAAATCATATCACCCACTAAACATTATCATCATTCTCATCACACAAGGTGGTTTCAGTACGTTATTAATAAGTGATCGATCAGTTGCTGGTTGGTTAGAGTTTGGTCCGTTGTGTAAAGGCATAAGTGAGTATCCATCCAATCCCCTGCATGCTCGCTCTTTCACTTCCATTGGCTGTCTGTTTGGGGGTGGGCTGATCTTTGGGACTGTGAGGGAGGGGCTTACGATGCTGAAAGTAGTCCATCGGTAGGTGTGGGGACAGGAGTTGGGGTGGGGGCTGTGCTTTCTATCTAAGATTGTAACAATAACCAACACACCAGTACGACTGGACTAGTAGCTTCTAATATATTCAGTACTGTAGAACAACTGCATGGGAGTCAAACTATACTAGTCTGTGTGTGTGTGTGTGTGAGGGGTGTGTTCTGAGAGGAATGTACTGTGGGCAGGTGTGTATTTTACCTGCTCCAGCAGTTCTGACGCTCTTCCATAGTCAGGTAGTCACACCTGTACCCCTACCCCTGTGTGTGTGTGTACACCTCACCTGCTTTGCCCCCTCTTTTTTAAGCAGTGAACACCTCCCTCTTATTTCACATCTGACTCTTGTGTAGACGTGTGTGTAGGTCCTGTTCATTGCTAAATGTGGGGCTAGTCTGCTTTTTCACACACAATCTGTCACTCACGGTCTGTTTGTCTGTAGCAGGACTGACTGACATCACAGACAGAACTGACCTGAACTGTCTTTTCTAAACTTACCTTCCAACTGTTAACGTATGTTTGTACCCATATAAGTCTGCATAGCCAAATAAGAGAGGTGTGTGTGCGAGTGTGTGTGCGAGTGTGTGTGCCAAGTTGGTGGAAGGCCACACCACACTGTTTGCTGTTACCCATCCTGTTTTTATACATTTGCATTTTTTAAGGCTGTTTCTGTCATTGGCTGCTGGGTGCCGGGAGGCGGACCTCTGCGCCACGGCCCTGCCACTAATTTGCCACTCTGTTCCAAATAAAAGACCTCATTGGTTAACACACTGTCATCTGTGATTTTATTGGCTGAGGGTATGGGGTGGGTAGGGGGGTGGAACATGAGGGGACTAATGGTGTTGCGAGCTCTGTATAGTTCAGATAAAATAGAAATATCACATATAGAACAGACAAATATATCTCTTGACACCCTAAATCTCAAATCATTAGCCCCTACCTCCTAGTGCCTAACCATTTTAGTAGATCTGAGAGGATTGGAATGGTGTAGGCAGGTACTATTCTAGACAGACACTCCTTCAGTCTACACCAATCCAATGCTTTTACATCCTAGAGGAGGAGTGTAAGTGTGCACAGTACATTTCAGGGAGAGGCAGGGGGGAGAATGGGAGGGTTTATCGTGTAATACATGGATGGAGTGTTGCTGGCTGGGTGATGCTGTGCACTCCGCCCTCTGCTGTTTGACTATGGTGTTACATCCCATACGCCACATACCTCCCTGAAGCTACAGAATCTGTACTGGGCTGATTCACTGGGGAAGGGGAGAGAAAGGAAGAGGTATTGGTGTTGCTGCTAGTGCTTGCTGTACTTGATTCTTTGTGAATCATGTAACTATATATTATAGAGATGTGAAGGGAATTAAGTGGTGTTGGGTAGCCAGTTACAGTAACTGGGTTGGAGTCAATGGAGCTGAGCTCCCTCTCGTGGGTGACATGTTACTACTACAGCATCACAAACACATTATTGTAGGCCTACCATATTTGCACTTTACAGCTGTAGAACTGACCCCCCATATGAGTAACACGTTTCAACATAAGCTAGCCATAAGGTCCCTGCATACCCCCTAGATAAAAATACTAATACATCTGTTAGACCCATCACCATTGCCTTGAATGCCAGCAAACGTTTGAAGGGTGTCTTGTCTCTGAATTGATAGAGGAACTGGCTGGCCATATCAGTGTAGATTTTTTATTTTTTTTTACAATAATTATCTGAATTTCATTTTGTTTTCATATTATGGAGCTAGTTCATGCATAGCATTACCACAACAAGGGTGCTGACATTTACACCACACCTGTGTAGTAGTGTAGGTCCCTAGGCCTATTGCGTTCTGTTCCCAGGTGTTCTGATCAATGGAATCTCCCTACTCGGGTCTGTTCGGCTCGTTGAGGACTCTCATTGGCTGATTCACCTCAACCTCTACACGTGATTGTTCTGTCTTCAACTATCTAATTTGTCAATCAACTTTATCACTTGTCTCGAAACTGTGCAAACTCACGCATCAATTCCCTAAAAGCGTGTTTGACCTTATCCGTAAACAAATTGCTAGTTTAGAGTTTGATGCTCGTGAAAGCAGGTTCGTTATGGATGACAAGCGTGAGTCAGCGGATGATTACGGTGAGGAATAAATTAACTCATTACTTTGCAGTCGTTTAATTAATTGATTCATTGTTCAAACAGTAATTAACTTGGTTTTTCACTAATAGGTTAACTCTCCCGTCGTATCACCGAAAAACAGTATCCAAGTAGTTACAAGTGAATTTGGCCTAGCTAATAGCCTAACTTTGTTTTGTTGGATAGTTTTAATAAGATGCAGGCTGCGACTGTTTTTCATGGAGTTAACGTTATACTTTAGAAAGCTAGCTATTAGTGATGGATCAAAATGTAGGCTACATAATGAGTAAGCTACCTGGATGAAACTGGGGGAGGGTCATGCTTTTTTCCAAAAAAAAATATTATTTAACTAGGCAAGTCAGTTAACAAATTCTTATTTACAATGACGGCCTACCAAAAGGCCTCCCTCCTGCGGGGGCTGGGATTAAAAATATAGGACAAAACACACATCACGACTTGAGACACCACAACACTACATAAAGAGAGACCGAAGACAACAACACAACATGGCAGCAGCACAAAGCATGGTACAAACATTATTGGGCACAGACAACAGCACAAAGGGCAAGAAGGTAGAGACAACAATGGTGTCTCTACCTTCACGCGAAGCAGCCACAAGTGTCAATAAGAATGTCCATGATTCAGTCTTTGAATGAAGATCAAACTGTCCAGTTTGAGTGTTTTTTGCAGCTCGTTCCAGTCGCTAACTTCAGCGAACTGAAAAGAGGAGCGACCCAGGGATGTGTGTGCTTTGGGGACCTTTAACAGAATGTGACTGGCAGAACGGGTTTTGTATGTGGAGGATGAGGGTTGCAGTAGGTATCTCAGATAGGGGGGAGTGAAGCCTAAGAGGTTTTTATAAATTTGTCAAGGGGAGTTTTTTTTTTTTTTTTTTAAATCTAGTCTAGGGGAGGGTCATGTAATTGATGAAATTTCTATATTTCTCCGTTTTAGAATTAGTTGCTTATTAGGCTATATATCGACGTGTGCCCGATGCCGCCACTCATCTCTAATGATCAGCTGGGTGCGCAATATGAAGTGTGCCTGTAGGCTATTTAGTGTGGTCGCAATAAAAGTATCTATAGGCTACAAAGTGCATGCTTGGAGAAGCACAGAGCAAAGTTATTTTTAAGATAGCTGATGGTGTAAATAAAACTATGCTGCATTACACACTGCAATGGCTATTCCAACCCCGAGTCCTGCCTGCTCTGCTCTTGCGGATCAAGCATTCCTAGTCGATCACCAAACATTTCTGTAGAAAAGCCAACGATAAAGGCTTGTTGCGCAGTGGGGGTAGGTGCACTTGATTCAGAAGCCCTGCGCACCGGGTACAGAAAGTGTTCCCATTTTGAACCAGTTCATTTGTCTGACCAGGAGATCTATGGCTAAATGTAGTTCGCCTACTGCGCTGGCCAATCGGATAGCTCAAATCACTGTTCCTTCAGGTTCCACAACCCCGGCCACAGCGAAGTTTGATAGGCCTACTAGACTACATGAGATTTCATAACTTGCAAAACCATGACCAGAGAGAGACTGTCAAAGAATACATCAACGTTTTTATGAATGAGTTCATGTCTAAGTTTTTATTAAGCACTGTCACCACTGTTTTTGTTAGCAGTTTGTCGTGACGATTTTAATATCGAGGAATATTTCACTTTCTCTGGTCATAGGAACAACATGAATTTGTGCATGAGGCAGATGCGGTGCGACTCGAGTTTCGCCATCAGGTAGAAGACATTGTCCCCTCACTCTGGTCAGTCTCACCAGAGGAAAGGAAGGCGAGAGCAGTGACGGTGAGAGGCGGACCCTCTGCTGCTCTCAATTCAATTCAATTCAATTCAATTTAAGGGCTTTATTGGCATGGGAAACGTGTGTTAACATTGCCAAAGCAAGCTCTCTCTCTCTCCCTCCGCTGCTAATGCCATGTTCAAAACAACTGGAAACTCGGAAATCTCCGACTTAAGTGTATTCAAGACAACTGGGAACTCGGGGGGAAAAAACGTTTTAAAAGGTCATCCACTCGGAATTCCAAGTTGGAAACTCTGGCATCTTTCTACAGCGCCGACTTTTCGACCTGAACATCGCTGACGTCATGATTTGACATCGTTTTTATCAGAGTTCCCAGTTGTCGTGAAAGCACCATGACCATCAGATGCAGGTACCATCAGTCCAGTAAAAATAAAAAAGCAAATTATTTCAATTTATGCTCAGCTGTGCCTCGAAAGTGCTACACAAACTGATCGATTTTGTTATCAAAGCTCGAGTTTTGAAATATAATATGGTCTGAGAATAACAATATTGGTAGGCCAGGCATATAGCCAATATGCTGTGATAATGTATTAGGCCTACTACACACATATCATTCCTACAGAACAGTTTTTATTATGTTAATGTTTCATTTTTTTACGTCATGTTTAAAAAAAAATCTGAGCGGTAGATCTCAGCTTGCTTCTTGACTGCGAATGAGATCTTAAGTCAGAAAACGTTGGTGACCACTGCTATAGCATATTTTCTGTTCAGATTGAGGAGAGCACGAAGATGAGGAGGACCGGAGGTCAATTTTGATAGCTTGCTACTCTATAATTGATTCGATTAAAAACAATATGTTTCTTGCCCATGGTGTAGTCTTATTTATCAGTTATTGACCTCACAATAAGCCAGATTCAAGTAACTTACATTGTGGTGCTGAAAGCAGCAGCCGTGACACAATCAATCGGAAATGGACAGCTCATTGTCCTGAAAGTAGCCAAATTCGAGTAGGCATAATTCATTTAAATGTCTGCATTTTAATTAGACTTTACTAACAACAAGAGGGCTTTGTGTTGGAGCCTATTTCTTCCTATTTAAGAAATGAGAGGTAAGCCTACCTGTTTGACAGACGAAATGAGCCTTTAGGCTGCTATATCCATCCATGCACACTTTAAATAGTCTACCTCCGTGTCAGTGAAGGGCTGGTAAATTAAAACCAAGACTGGAATTGAGGGGTTATGAGAGGGTAGGCTATGCCATATGTCTACTTTTTATAAAAGAAAATGGTAAAAAGCATAGCGCTTTGGCCCGCGATGCTTTATGCTAGAAACAAGCTGTAAAATACCCGGGAAAGTAGTGACTCCTATGCATATGGGGATATCATTGTTTAGTTTATTTGACATTCAGAGGCTGAGCTACAACCTTCTATAGCCGAGGATACTTAAAAAAAAAAAAAAACTTTGCTTGGGAAGTAATCTAATTCTGTCACTCAATTGTTTAAGCGATTCACTTTATGTACAATATATGTTTAAACCCAAACAGCTTTTAGGGAAACACTTGTGACCTTCTGTCATTGGGTTAAGCTATGGAAGAAGAGTAGTCAGCAGTTAAATCTGCTGCGTCGGAAGGCCTACTCTGTCTGGGATGGAAAGGTAGTCCTAATTTTTGAAAGTACCATGCTGAGATTCTTAATGACGTCTCAGATTTAATTATTTGCAAACAGGGACAGTTTCGTTGCAAACAAGACAAACTGATTTGGCATTGGAGAAATATGATAAGATTAACACATATGCCTATCTCTCTGTCCATTCTTAGCCAGTAAATTCGGTAATTTGTGTGGAATTGAAAATATTCTGCTAATATGTAAAATGACGTAGAATTGTATGAAATGTTTATAAAAGGCCATTTTTTCTCTGACATGCAAATACGATGATAGATTCATGCAATGCTTTTACCATAAAGGAGATCTTTCCACCCTGATTCTTGTCCACGGTGGTCTGCGAAACCACAACCTTCTGGCCTGCAGCCTTGTGCACTATCAAAATTCCTGCGTTGCCGTGTAATGCTAACAGGCCGAAGAACAGTTTTTAAAACTGCATATCTAAGGCTCTGATCTGTCCAAGAAGTGAGGGTAAACGGTAGACATGTTCTCTGCTATCCACTTGGTGTTTTAATTATAATTTTTGGTATAGGGAAAGGGGGATACCTAGTCAGTTTTACAACTGAATGCATTCAACTAAAATGTGTCATCTGCATTTAACCCAACCCCTCTGACTCAGAGCAGTGCAGGGGTATAGGGGAGGGTCACTTGTTTTTTTTCAATCATTCAAGGAGGGTTCAGGTAAAATATATTTTTCTGAAGGGAGGGCCATCCATTTTAAATTCAGAGCGGCCCGATTTTCTCCATGTAACCCTAATTAATGAGCAGGTGAGGCAGCGAATGGCCTCAGCATACCTGCCATTTTAATTACAGTCATTAGAACACTGTTATGTGCAAGCTAGGCCCACATGACATCACCTCATAATCTAGATTCTTCTCATTTTACCCAAACCAGTATTTGCTTTTACCTGACTAATCATTACCCAATGATACTCAGTGGCACTATTTTGAACTTTTTGTCACTTTGTGCCACTCCATCATGCTATTTCAGTGAGTGTTATGTAATGTTATGACAGTCTTATTTCATGCTAAGTTGCTCTGTGTGGCTGTATGCAGACTGCCCAAGCCTCCTGTGTGAGGAACAGGAGGATGAAGAGGAGGAGAGTTACCGTGGAGATGATGAGACCGGAGGAGAGGAGGGGGGAGAGAGAGAAGAATGGGACAAAGGACAAAGAGGAAGAAGAGAGAGAGTGGAGGAGGAGGAAGAAGAGATGGGAGAAGAGACAGAGAAGGAGGAGAAGAATGGAGAGATGGGTGAGGAAGGAGTAACAGAAAGAGAAGAGGAGAGTGAGGTGGTAGTTGATTTTGAAGAGGAGGGAGGAGAGATGGAGAAGAGACAGTTGAGAAAGAGGAAAGGGAGGGCAGAGAAAGAAGTAAAGGAGGTGGTGGTGATTGAGGATAGGAGAGGGAGGGAAGAGGAAGAGGAGATGAATGACAGGCGAGAGAGAGATAGGGAGGAGAAGGTAGAGGAGGAAAAGAAGCAGAAAGGAGTGATGGAGGCGGCTCTGTCTCTCGACCTCGTCGGCGTGACAACTGACCCTATCAGCATGACGACCACCACTCATGATGACTCTGGGTACCTGAGCTCTGGGATGGGGTTCTACTGTCCCCCCGAACCTCTCCTATTCCACACCCAGCCTAAACCTCACCCCCAACCCCTTCTGCCCAGTGGGGTGAAGCGCCCCCACAGTGTCAGCCCCCCTCTCCCTCCCACCCAAAGCCTACAGGTAAGACAGACAAGAGGAGATGACATCATACTTTCAGGAGTGATGTCATTACAATGGGGTCCTGCACAGTGCTCTATAAAGTTCACACAACCGCTAACCCCTAGTTAGTCCCTCCTGTAGCTCAGTTGGTAGAGCATGGTGCTTGCAACGCCAGGGTTGTGGGTTCGATTCCCACAGGGGGCCAGTATGAAAAATGTATGCACTCACTAACTGTAAGTCGCTCTGGATAAGAGCGTCTGCTAAATGACTAAAATGTAAATGTAATACTTGGAGATGTGAAAGGACTGGATATATACTAAATAGAACGAACACACACACACACACACTGCTCTTCCACAGGTAAAGGTGACTCGAGTGTACTCTACCCGCCGTTCAATTGGCTACAGCGCCCGGGGGCGTGGCCAGGTGCTTCCCCTCCCCCCGTTGCCAGCGGTAACCATGGGAGTCCCCTCCCTGTTGCCCTCCCTGCCCAAGAAGAAGACACGAACACTCTACAGCACTGGTGAGGAGACTGTGTGTGTCCACTCTGACCTATTGCCTTTGTCTATGTGTAACCAGTGTGTGTGTGTGTAGACCAGTTGGAGCAGCTAGAGGGTATGTTCCAGGAGGACCACTACCCAGACGGAGAGAAGAGGAAGGAGATTGCCGCCACGGTGGGCGTCACGCCCCAGAGGATCATGGTTAGTACTCTCCAGGAGGAGACCTATTAGGATTTGAGGTTTATATTTTGCTTCTCTACCTTCCTCCGTCTCTCCTCTCATCCCTCCCCCTCTCCTCTCATCCCTCCCCCTCTCCTCTCATCCCTCCCCCTCTCCTCTCATCCCTCCCCCTCTCTGGTTGTCAGGTGTGGTTTCAGAACCGTAGGGCCAAATGGAGGAAGGCCAGTCGTTCTACAGTGAAGCCAGAACACAAACAGACCTGCAGCAGCCTCCCTGACCCCAACCCTACCCCCCTCCATGCACCACACCCACACCCTAGGTAGGCTCAGACAGCAATATGACATCACCGGTTTCAGACATCCACAATAAAGAACACATTTTATATCTGCCAAAACAGCCACTATTAACTCTTCCAGACAATGTGCACCCTCCCTTGAAGCATGCCCACATTGGGAGGGCTGACAGGGTCTTGCATGATGCATACATTGGGAGGGCTGACAGGGTCTTGAACTGACAAGGTCTCCGTCTTGAGCTGTGTGATAATGGCCAAACTGAAGCTGAGATTTGATTATACTAACTCTAGTCTGTCTCTATAGTGCGGCTGCAGGACACATCACCCCCTTCATCCCTCCCGCTGGTCTCTCCTTACCTCTCCCTCCTACCAACCAGGCCCTCCCGTCCTACAGCACCCTGCTAGCCAGCCTCTCATCCAGCCCTACAGGTAGGCAGTCAATCTATCCATCCATCAGTCACACTACACAAACAATTGTTAATGTTTGTTAATGTTTGACTGTATATCTTTATGTGACTCCCAGGCAGGTCAAGAGGAGGAGGGGAGGGAGGGCTACCGTCAGGACCTCAGGGGGGGTCAGTGGAGCACCTACCTCCTATCATGTATAGCCCACCCCCTTTACGACGTGCCAGCCTCCCCCTCCTGACTACCTTCCTGAACCCCCCCAACCCTACCCCAACCCCCCCTCCACCAACCCCACAACCCACCCCAACATCGCCTTTCTTCATGGATGTGTTGGAGCCCCACCCTCACCCCCCCAACAGAGACACACAGGGACTCACCCTGCAGACTGACACTGGGTGAGTAATTGAATGACATTGCATGACGTAGGCTGAATGGAACTGAAAAGACACCCATGCCTATGTGTAATGGGAAATATCGAAGATTAATACAGTTAATTTTAGAGTGATTAACACTATGTTTTCCCTGTCTGTAATACACATTTCCAGTGTTCTGGTTGTACGGGTTGATGTTCACTAGACTTGTTACTGAAAGCTATGGGTTGTTCTCATATCGTTTGATGGTGATTGACGTCAGAGCTACTGAAGACACAATGACATTATGAACACTGATCCTGTAGCAACTGGCAAAGTCACTGTCTTTTGTTTTCACCTCTTACAAGCCTCTGATTTAATATAAATAAGTGCCTTCTCACAGAAGGCACGTTAGACATTTTCTGTGCTGGAGGTGTCTCCCTGTTGCAACTTGTAATTAAAGCAGATTGATTTATGAGTGACTATCTGCGACTGCTCATCTCTTTACATTATGTGTGTGTGTCATCCCCAGTTCTCTGTTTGACTACAGCAGTGATCTCCTGTCCAGCAGCAGCAGCTCAGTGAAGATAGATCCTCAGCACTACCTGACCTCCAGCCACCAGGGCGGCGCTACAGTCTCCTACCAACCTCAGGCTTCCCGCCTGGCCTACCTCACCCCCTCCCCCTACCTCAACCCCAACCCTCCTGAGGGGAGTGCCCCTCCCCCCTCCTACCTCACCTTCGGTCCGGGGGGCGGGCCCGGGGTGGTGACTTATGCAGCTGGAGGCCACACCTACTTCCAGGCACAGACTGGAGGGGGACCGATCCTACTGCAGTCTGGGCTACACGGTGAGTCACTGTTGGGATAACACCTAGACACACACACACACACAACATTTTGAGATTGGACATTAGAGTCAGTGTGTGTGTGTGTGTGTTTAGGTGGTATCACAGCCTACCAGTCGTACCCGTGGGATCAGATCTACAGCCATCCAGCAGTGTTCCAGCAGCGTAACCAGTGTTCCCAGTTTACTACCACCACACTGGGGAGCCGAGACCACCCAACCTCCTCCTCCTACCTGCCACCCACTTACTACCCCCGTTCACACACACACTCCCAGAGACCCTCACACACTCTCACACACACCTCTACCCAGGCCCAGGTCCTGCCCCCAGCCTCTAGCCTGCAACCCCCCCTCCCCAGAGGGGCCAGCGCCCCCCAGCCCAGAGCCCCCACACCACCCTTGGCCCTCCTGGATCTCCCCACCTGTGTGAAGGCTGAGAATGAGAGCCCTCCCCACGTACACAGCAGCCACTTCCACTGTGACTTCTCACCCATACTCTTCTGACAGACCTGGGGGATATAGTAGGGTGTGTCTTATTCCTGTCTTCATATCTGTGTGTGTGTGTGTGCTCTGTATGTTCTTGTATGTTTATGTGAGTATGAATGTACACTACCTGTCAAAAGTTTTAGAACACCTACTCATTCAAGGGTTTTTCTTTATTTTTTACTATTTTCTACATTGTAGACTAATAGTGAAGACATCAAAAGTATGAAAAAACACATATAGAATCATGTAGTAACCAAAAAAAGTGTTAAACAAATCAAAATATATTTTATATTTGAGATTCTTCAAATAGCCACCCTTTGCCTTGATGACAGCTTTGCACACTCTTGGCATTCTCTCAACTGGAATGCTTTTCCAACAGTCTTGAAGGAGTTCCCACATACACTGAGCACTTGTTGGCTGCTTTTCCTTCACTCTGCGGTCCGACTCATCCCAAACCATCTCAATTTGGTTGAGGTCGGGGGATTGTGGAGGCCAGGTCATCTGATGCAGCACTCCATCACTCTCCTTCTTGGTAAAATAGCCCTTACACAGCCTGGAGATGTGTTGGGCCATTGTCCTGTTGAAAAACAAATGATAGTCCCACTAAGCCCAAACCAGATGGGATGGTGTATCGATGCAGAATGCTGTGGTAGCCATGCTGGTTAAGTGTGCCTTGAATTCTAAATAAATCACAGACAGTGTCACCAGCAAAGCACCCCCACACCATAACACCTCCTCCTCCATGCTTTATGGTGGGAAATACACATGCAGAGATCATCCGTTCACCCACACCGCGTCTCACAAAGACACGGCGGTTGGAACCAAAAATCTCCAATTTGGACTCCAGACCAAAGGACAACTTTCCACCGGTCTAATGTCCATTGCTCGTGTTTCTTGGCCCAAGCAAGTCTCTTCTTCTTATTGGTGTCCTTTAGTAGTAGTTTCTTTGCAGCAATTCGACCATGAAGGCCTGATTCACACAGTCTCCTCTGAACAGTTGATGTTGAGATGTCTTTTACTTGAACTCTGTGAAGCATTTATTTGGGCTGCAATTTCTGAGGCTGGTAATTCTAATGAACTTATCCTCTGCAGCGGAGGTAACTCTGGGTCTTCCATTCCTGTGGTGGTCCTCATGAGAGCCAGTTTCATCATAACGCTTGATGGTTTTTGCAACTGCATTTGAAGAAACGTTCAAAGTTCTTGAAATGTTCCGTATTGACTGACCTTCATGTCTTAAAGTAATGATGGACTGTCGTTTCGCTTTGCTTAATTCCACAAATTAACTTTTAAAAAGGCACACCTGTTAATTGAAATGCATTCCAGGAAGCTGGTTGAGAGAATGCCAAGAGTGTGCAAAGCTGTCATCAAGGCAAAGGGTGGCTATTTGACGAATCTCAAATATAAAATATATTTTGATTTGTTTAACACTTTTTTGGTTACTACATGATTCCATATGTGTTATTTCATAGTTTTGATGTCTTCACTATTATTCTACAATGTAGAATAATAGTAAAAATAAAGAAAAACTCTTGAATGAGTAGGTGTTCTAAAACTTTTGACCGGTAGTGTATATGTGCCTACGTGTGTGTGTGTGACTGTCTGATTTATTTTGAGGCTCATTGTTGAGACTTAGAAGGTTCTGTTCAGGTTGTTGGGCTGTAATAAAGGCATGTTACTTACCATTGATCCGTCTGGTTGCTTTAGTGTGTGTGTTACCGTTTTTCTGTCATCTCCATATAGTGGATTTGTTTGTACACTGTGATTTCCAGTACTCAAACCGTTCCACCAGAGAGTGCAGTTTCCCCGTGTGTGTGTGTGTGGGGGGGCCCAACACTTTTCTACATGTAATGAGGACATGAATAAGGGGTCCTTATGGTATAGCTTACCCTGCTCATTCCAAGTCAATCTGACGGAGTTGACCAAATCTCCGGACACATCTTTTAGGAATCACAGTTTTGAGATAAATATTATGGGGGGGGGGGGAGATAAAAAAAGAGCCCCGACCAGAAACAACCCCTAGCCTCTTCCCTATAGGCAGAGCGCATGGTGGAGCTGCTACCATACAGTATAAAGTGCTGCTTATTTTGACGCGTACCGAGTATACGAAGAGGCAGGACACAGAGGCAGGAATTAACAAGGTCAAGGTTTACTTAACAATGAGCAAGAGAAGTAACAAAGAGTAAACGACCCGGATCTTAACAATCACACACAACATCCTCCAGTCCAGGGCTAAACAGGGCTGGTGATGAGATGAGGTGATTAGGGTGCTTTGGGTTTCCATTCCGGTGTTGCCGAGGTGGTGCGCTCAGCCCGGTGGCTCAGTAGACTGGCGAATCAGAGCGCCGGAGTGGAGCAACAGGAGGAGACGTGACACTTATCCCCTCAGAGCTATATGAAGGATCTTGTTGGTAGCGACTAACTGGGATCTCCTTGCTTTTGTGTCTCTGAATGTGTATTTGTGATGGACAGTATGGATGACACTCCCATCCCACAGTGACATCCCCATCTTTCTCTCTCTTTCTCTCCCCCCTGTGGAGCCTGGGGATGAGGGGAAAGGTAGAGAGGAGAAGGCTAGGGGGGGATAAGTGAGGAAAGGAGGTGTGTGTGAACAGAGGCGTTGGTTATGTAAAAAAAAAAAAAATGACTGGCCAGCGAGCTGTTACTGTTGGCTGGAGAGTCTTAGGACACACACACTATATACCGGTACTAAACTACATCAGGCAAGATCAATGTATACTGTTCACAGACCTCTAGCACACACACACACACACACACACACACACACACCCCCTCATTCCAGCAGTAGAGAGGCCCGCGGAGCCCCACAGAAGTTCTATTCACGCTCCGCGCAGACAGTCATAACATTACTGCTACTCATAGTGTGTGTGTATCTTTGTGTGTGATTAGGAGGGGCCCTTCATGTAGGTTTAGGTTTGTGATACATTTTTCCAGGACGTCCCTGGTGTGAACAGAGTGCTTAGCAATTTGGAGTCCCGTTTCAAATTGCCATTGAAGGCCCTCCTGTCCATGCAATTAATTATTAACAGATTATTCACCTTCTACTAAATGTTTTTAATGGTCAATTACAAAATGTAAGATGCTTTACCTGGCCATTAAGCCTATAGCCTATATATAGAAAGCAATGAGCTTGTTTTGGTGCTGAAATAGGATATATCTGCCCCTGGACAATCTTATTAATCAGGCAAGTCAGGCTATAGTTTTTCTTAATGTCTGTGTAGGCAACAGTAAAGTCTATATCAACAACATTCTTTGTTGACAAACTTACCTGCTGCGCAATTTACAAATATATGGGCCTGAAGTGTTGAATAAAACACGAGGCAAGTTACAACTGGCCAATAAGTGGCCTTGCTCACATAACCAATAGCCGATGGAGTGCATTGTGGCACTGTCCATGTGTTGAAAATTAATACAACAGGCCTATTCTCATCTCAACAATCAGGCAATACAATACCGTTTTCCTGGCATACTAAACTCACTTTTGGCTGACTGCACATTTGGACTTTTCCTTCTGATTTTATTTGTCATTTGGAATGAGTTTTCTCCCCCCGCCCCTCCTCCCAACAGTTGCCTGACCAATCCTGGCGGTTTAAGCGTTTTGCAAACCAACAGCTCTTTATTCAAACAATCACATATTATAGGCTAGTGACACCGCATCAAAAAGTAATTGTGCAACATGGATTAACCACACAGCTTTACAACCCCCCATTACACCATTTAATGCACCACACGGTGGGAGAAAAAATAAATATATTGTCCACGGGGCCCCTAGTGGCTGGGGGCCTGTTTTATATTGAAACGGATTAAACATAGAAAAGTCCGCCAGTGGCAGCGGGAATTGGTGTGATGGGGATGGGATGCCTCAGTCCGTTCCCGTCGCGTCAATATTTATTTAGTATTCTGAGATGGTAAAAAGGGAACTTGTTTCAATATTTATGGTTGTGGTCAAACAAGAAATCCATGCAGTCTTTCCAAACCCACACACACACACACACTGTCTGCCACCCCTCCCCGCACATACACTTTGAGACTCTGAAAACCTGCACATTAAGAAGGTTTTCATTTCTCAAATACAGTCAGGTTGTGTGTGTGCGTGAACAGGTACGTGTGTTCATGTCTAACAGATTCTTCTACACATTATCTGAAGTGTTTTACAGCAGTATTTCTTTAGGTGGTCCTTACTAGTCATAACTGGTTACCTTTGACAAGGATGTCCTGTTCCAAGAGTGGCCATTCATTGTACAGTGACCTCCGATAGGGTTATATTCGCTTGGTCTGTCGAGTTTTGATCTGTTGAGTTGGGTTGCATCGAGTTTCTTGAGTTTATTTTGGTTGAGTTTAGACTGCAAAAATAAAATATATTTTATCAAGATTTGTTCATCTTGTATTAAGACAATAAAGTTAGATGTACTTGTTTTGAGTTGATTACCCAGGAGATAATCTAACTTGGATCAAGATGATTTAGGCCTATCTGTAGAATCAGCAGTGTGCTTAGCAGGCAGGTACTGTAGACTTCTATGGTTAGTACAGCTGCCTCACGTGTTGCTGTTTATCCTCTACCTGCTGTTACATAAGTGTGTGTGTGTGTGTGTGTGTGTGTGAGAGAGAGGGAGGGATGGAGGGTGTGTGAGAGAGAGGGAGGGAAGGAGGGTGTGTGTGAGAGAGGGAGGGATGGAGGGTGTGTGTGAGAGAGGATGGGGGTGTGTGTGGTGGGTGTGGGAAGGGGGGAGGAGGAGGGTGTGTGTGAGAGAGGGGAGGATGGAGGGTGTGTGTGAGAGAGGGGAGATGGAGGGTGTGTGGAGAGAGGGAGGGTGGAGGGTGTGGTGAGAGAGCGGAGGGAGGAGGGTGTGTGAGAGAGGGGAGGGCGGAGGTGTGTGTGAGAGAGGGGGGGATGGCGGGTGTGTGTGGAGAGGGGAGGGATGGAGGGTGTGTGTGAGGGGGGGGGATGGAGGGTGTGTGTGAGGAGGAGGTGGGGTGGGTGTGTGTGAGAGGGGGGGGAGGGTGTGTGAGAGGCTGGATGGAGGTGGTGTGTGAGGGGGGTGGAGGGATGGTGGGTTGTTGTGAGAGGGAGGCATGGATGGGGTGTGTGCGGGGGGACGGAGGGGTTGTGTGTGGACGAGGGGGATGGGGTTGTTGTGTGTGTGTGGCGAGAGAGGAGATGAGAGTGGAGTGTGTTTTGTCGAGCGAGAGAGCGAGGCGGCAGAGTGTTGCGTGTGTGGGGTCGCCTGGGGCGGATGGAGAGAGAGAGGAGATGTGGGGTGTCTCGTGTGCGTCTGGTGCGAGGAGTGTGGAGGGTGTGTGTGTGTGTGTGAGAGAGAGAGAGAGAGAGAGAGAGAGAGATGGAGGGTGTGTGTGTGTGTGTGTTCTCTCCATGTGGGAAGGATGCCAGGCTACCTATTCCTAGAGGTGGCATCCAGGAATAACACCCCACCTGATCTTTCATCTCTCACCCTGGAGACACACAGACACACACGCACTCATGTGTAGACATACACACACACCGTCTGTTGACTTAGCAGCGCGTTCAGTAGGAAATCTGTCTGGGTAGGTAGTGCACAGTCTCTACTCACATTCCCCTGTCCCCCTCAATCAGGGCTTGTTCAGGTGGTGAGAGTGTGTGTGTGGGGCATGGGAGGTGGGGTGGGGTGGGGTGGGGGGCACATTGGAATGCAAGGTTGGGTCGGGTATGTCAGAAAGAAAAAAGTATGTTCTGTGTATGTGTTTGTGTGTGTGTTTTCAGATAGAGGGTGTTTGCTGTTTGGCTGTAGGGGCCCACTGCCTACCTGATAGAAGAGAGGGGAGAGGATAGCACAGAATGATGCAGTACAGGGAGTACTTTGACATCCTTCCTCTCTCTTTTTTCCTCTGTCAGGTGTTCTCAAATCGAAGCCTGATGTCGGCAGTACTGCTAGTTGTCTGTTCCCCCCAATAGTTCATTGATTGATTGTCATTGATTGGCCAGTGAGGTCTGAATCATTCCCTGATTAGAGGGGAAGACTGGCAACCAGCATTACTTCTGACCTCAAGGATTTGTGGAATGGTGAAGACCTGCCCTTAATGTAGGAAAGGAGGGAAGGATGCATGTCTAAAGTATTGAAATAAGCAAAGGAGAAAATATTAGGGAACTGGAACGCGTCCGCAGCCTGAATGTAAGCTACATTCATTAGTAGAGTGATTACATACACTTGCGCGCGCGCACACACACACACACACACACACATACTGCTCTCAAAGAGCTCATTCAACAACAGTTCTACGGTAGGCCAATATGCTCAAATTCATAAGCTCGGACACACACACACACACACACATGCTTTCTCGGGTAGTTGTTCACATTTTCAGTATCTTCACTTTCTGATACACACACACACACACACCCTTCACATGAAACTTCTCTCAATCAGTTTACATTGGACATTGCTCAAAAGCATATGCTGGTATATGCGTGTGCACACACTTACACACGCATGTACACACACACACACACACACACACACACACACACACACACACACACACACACACACACACACACACACACACACACACCACACACACACACACACACACACACACACACACACACACACACACACACACACATACACACACACACACATTCACCATGCACAGCCTAGCAGGAACACTGTATGCTGTGTAAGGCAGCTCTTCAACATCCTGCTGTAAAGGTGTGTTTGCTATACGAGGGAACATGGAGAGAAAAGAGGAATTCATGTTGCTGTTTATTTGAGCTTTGGCCAAATTCAACCTTGAACTGTTGCACCAGCCAAGCAGCAACACACACACACACACACACACACACACACACACACACACACACACACACACACACACACACACACACACACACACACACACACACACACACACACACATACACACGCACACACACACACACACACACACACACACACAGACACACACACTGTATGCACACACACTTGCACATTCACACCGCACAGTATAAGAGGATACACTAAAGCTGCCTTACACACACACACACACACACACACACACACACACACACACACACACACACACACACACACACACACACACACACACACACACACACAGTCAGGTACACATACATCCTTACCTCAAACACACATAACTTATATTCTACCCATATCAAGGTGTATTTGTTTTTCCCTGCCCACCGTTTTACAGTGTAGGTCCTCCCAATGCAGGTATTTCCCCCCTACACACACACACACACACACACACACACACACACACACACACACACACACACACACACACACCCAGTGGCGGCAGTGGTACAGAGGGGGGTTGTCTGTGGGTTGAGTTTGAAGCCATTGCATTGATAACCAGTAGCTGTGACTGGGAGACTGTGTGTCTGTCCCGCCTCGCTCTCCTCCTCTCCTCCCTCGCCCAGTCACTATCTCCTCCTCCCTCGCCCAGTCACTCTCTCCTCCTCTCCTCCCTCGCCCAGTCACTATCTCCTCCCCTCGTCCAGTCACTATCTCCTCCTCTCTCCCCTTGCCCAGTCACTATCTCCTCCTCTCTCCCTTCGCCTAGTCACTCTCTCCTGGGCCACCGCTCTAGGACTGTTCTCCCTCTTCTGTGGTGCTTAGATCGTTTTTGGTCCCTTTTCGGTTCTTTTTGGATCCTGTTCCAGTTGGATCCTTCAGTCATCATGATACCCTCTCCGCCGTTGTTCCTGCTGCTGCTCGGCCTCATGGGAGCTCACGCCACCGCACCCGGGTCCATGGAACTCCGCACCGCCGCCGCCATGGGTAAGATCCTCCTGACCTCTAACCCTGACCCATAATCTAAAACCTAAACACTAATCGTAACCCTTAACCTCTTACCTTTAGTTATAACCCATATTACCTCCACAATGGGTCAAGAATCATGATCCACTGACTTGGACTCTTATCCCAACTCTAACCCCTAACCCATTATTCCTAACCCCAGCTTGCCCCAGACCCCAAATGGTGCAGTCACTTAGCCTCAGAGCCCCCTAAACAACCTGGTACCCTTTCCTAACCTCTGCATCTCTCCATCTTTCGGTCTTTCCTTTTCCCTGACAGTGTCTGCTGTGTAGAGTGGAACAGCCCGAGTAGGTTCTAGAGAGACATTATACAGCTGCTGGGTGTAACAAGAATCACACAGAGAGATCTGTATCAATGGTTCTTGGTGGTCCAGGGTGGTGCTGGGTCTAAGCTCTTTAGGGCAGAGAGACGCATAGAGACGCATAGAGGTGAATAGAGTACTAGCTGTATAATGATGTGGCTGGATACTGACTCCAATTGAGTCAGTCAGTGAACATTGAATGGATGTTATAGTTTCAAAGTATTTGTTTTTGGGTTAGTATAGCTTATTAAGAGTTGGTTGCTAGTTTGGAAGTGTCAGTGTGCTTGAAAGGTTGGTGTTGGTGTAAGTATTGTAATTAAGTGTTAATTTAGGTGTTCAAGTGTGTGTGTGTGGTTGTGGTTGTGTGTGTGTGTGTGTGTGTGTTTGTGGGATGTTAGAGGAGGTACAGTATAAACTGCTGCAGTGAGGGAACGATAGAGGTGAAGGGGGAGAAAGGAGATCAGTGATGTTGCATAAACATAGAGTATGAAAGATCACATACAGCTACACTCTTCTGCCTTTCTCTCTCTCCCTCGTTCTCTATCTCTCTCTCCTCGTCTCTCCCCTCGTTCTCTACTGCCTCTCTCTCTCTCCCTCGTTCTCTTCTGCCTCTCTCTCTACTGCCTCTCTCTCCCTCGTTCTCTACTGCCTCTCTCTCTCTCCCTCTCTCTCTCCTCCTCACTGCTCTACTCTCTCTCTCTCTCCCTGTTCTCTCTCTCTACTCCTCGCTCTCTCTCTCTCCCTCGTTCTCTACTGCCTCTCTCTCCTCTTCCCTCGTTCTCTACTCTCTCTCTCTCTCTCTCTCCTTCTCCTCTCTTCTCCTCTTACTGCCTCTCTCTTCTCCCTCGTTCTCTACTGCCTCTCTCTCTCTCCCTCGTTCTCTACTGCCCTCTCTCTCTCTCTCCTCCTCTCCTACTGCCTCTCTCTCCTCGCTCCTGCCTCTTCTCTCCCTGCTCTACTCCTCTCTCTCTCCCTCTCTCTACTCTCCTCTCTCTCTCTCTCCCTCTCTCTACTGCCCTCTCTCTCCTCTCCCTCTTCTTCTCTCGCCTCTCTTCTGCTCTCTCTTCTCTACTGCCTCTCTCTCTCTCCCTCGTCTCTACCTCTCCTCTCTCTCTCTCCCTCGTTCTCTACTGCCCTCTCTCTCTCCCTCCTCTCTACTCTCTCTCTTACTGCCCTCTCTCTCTGCCTCTCTCCCCTCTCTCTACTCCTCCTCTCTCTCTCCCTCTCTCTTCTCTCCTGTCTCCTGCCCCTCTCTCTCCCTCGTTCTCTACTGCTCTCTCTCTCTCCCTCGTTCTCTACTGCCTCTCTCTCTCTCCCTCGTTCTCTACTGCCTCCTCCTCTCTCTCTCTCTCTCCTCTACTGCTCTCTCTCTCTCCCTCGTTCTCTACTGCCTCTCTCTCTCTCCCTCGTTCTCTACTGCCTCTCTCTCTCCCTCGTCTCTGCTCTCTCTTCCTTTTTACTCTCTCTCTCCTCTCTCCCTCTCTCTCTACTGCTCTCTCTCTCTCTCCCTCGTTCTCTACTGCTCCTCTCTCTCTCCCTCGTTTTCTCTACTGCTCTCTCTCTCTCCCTCGTTCTCTTCTCCTCTCTTCTCTCGTTCTCTCGTTCTCTACTGCCTCTCTCTCTCCCTCGTCTCTCTACTGCCTCTCTCTCTCTCCCTCTTCTCTACTCTACTGCTCTCTCTCTCCTCCCTCTCTCCTCTTCTCTACTGCCTTCTTCTCTCTCTCTCCCTCGTTCTCTTACTGCCTCTTTCCCCTCCCTTGATTTGCTCCTCCCTCTTACTGTTCTCCTCCCTCCTTGCATCCTCATACCTGGTTCTCACTCCCCCTTCCTTTCTCATCCCCCCCTCTCCACTCTTTCTCACTCCCCCTCCACTCTTCTCACTCCCCCCCTCCCACTCTTTCACTCCCCCTCTCCACTCTTTCACTCCCCTCTCCACTCTTTGCATCCCCCCCTCCACTCTTCTACCTCACCCCCCGCTCCACTCTTCTCACTCCCCCTCTCCCTCTTTCTCACTCCCCCTCCCTCTTCCCTCACTCCTTTTCACTCCCCCCCCTCCACTCTTCTCATCCCCCTCTCCACCTCTCATCCCACCACTTCCTCACTCCCCCTCTCCACTCTTTCTCACTCCCCTCTCCACTCTTTCACTCCCCTCCCCCTCCACCACTCTTTCACTCCCCCCCCCCCCTCACTCTTCTCACTCCCCCCCTCCACTCTTCTCACTCCCCCTCCCCTCCTTCTCACTCCCCCTCCACTCTTTCTACTTCCCCTCCCCCACTCTTTCACTCCCCCTCTCCACTCTTTCACTCCCCCTCTCCACTCTTTCTCACTTCTCCCTCTCTTCCTCTCCTCCACCTCTACAGATCCCTCCTCTCGCAATTGAATGCAAAGAGAATATGGACAGCAGAATTGACCAGCCATTGAAGATTTTCTCAATATGAATTTGAATAATAGTAATCATTGTCACTAATAATAATCAATCTCTCGCTATCTCTCTCTTTTTCTCTCTCTCCCTCCAACCCCCCCCCCCCCCACCCCTTCCCCAGCGGCAGGTCTGTGTAACACTCGCCCTACAGACCTGGTGTTCATCGTGGACAGCAGTAGGAGCGTGCGTCCATCAGAGTTCGAGCAGGTCAAGGTGTTCCTGGCCAAGGTCATCGAGGGACTGGACGTTGGACCTGATGCCACACGGGTCGGAGTGGTCAACTATGCCAGCCGCGTCAAGAACGAGGTGTGTGTGTATGTTTGAGTGGTGAGATGTACAATTTTAATGGTCTCCATAACTGTCCTTACATTCACTGATGTCCACACGTTCTGTATGATGCCCCCTTCTACGTACTACATCACAGCCATGTTGTCCCCAAAAGTTCCAAGATAATGTATTCTATCTAGGATGCACTCACACACACACCTAACTCTTGTCTCTCTCCAGCTGTCTCTGAAGACCCATAAGACCAAGGCAGGTCTGGTAAAGGCTGTGACTAAGATCGAGCCCCTGTCCACTGGCACCATGACCGGCCTTGCCATCCAGTTCGCCCTCAACGTAGCTTTTAGCGAGGCAGAGGGCGCCCGCGTCAAGTCCCCAGACATCAGCAAGGTAGGTCAGATGCACACCAGACCTGGGTTCAAATCCTATCTGAAATCTTTCAAATACTTACATTTGCTTTAGGCAGCCTGTAGTGCCAGATGGGTGGGGTTTACACTTTTGGGACTTTTCTATTTGGTCCATTGCAACAGGCAAGCTCAATCAAGCACCTTGGCCTTTACTCACCCTTTATCACCATTTTGTGTCTCAGCGACCGGCTGCTGTTGTGTGACCTAACCTGGTTCCTATTAACCAACTAGTCTATCCAACTAATGTCGTATCGTTTCCATATCTCCTCCAGGTAGCCATCATCGTGACAGACGGTCGTCCCCAGGACAACGTCAAGGATGTGGCGGCACGTGCCCGGGACGCGGGTATCGAGCTATACGCCATCGGCGTAGGGCGCGTAGACCTGAATACGCTGAAGCAGATCGCCAGCGAGCAGTTGGACGACCACGTGGACTACGTAGAGAGCTACTCAGTCATCGAGAAACTCACCAAGAAGTTCCAAGAGGCTTTCTGTGGTGAGATAGGGAGGGAGAAAGAGGGAAGGACAGGAAGGACATAGAAGAGGGGGAGGAAGAGGGAATGAAAGAGAGGGTAATAATAAGATGGCCATGCTAGAAAAGACTAACATTGCAATATGGTCTGATCTGTTGCTGATAAGTGGGCTGTTCTAGTGTGGCCTATTGACAAGGGAGGGAAGGTGGGGAAAAATAAGGAAAGGGAGGATGTGTGTGACGGAGGGAGGGAGGGGAATTGGAGAGGAGTCTTCGCAATCATCATCCTTGTCTTCATCCTCACCAAAGGAGTTGGTGGGTGTGGCTAGGGTAAGGTGTCAATCTTCAGTAACTCCTCCCCCTCTGAGGGGTGAGACTGAAGCTTCTGATTAGTGTTCCACTAGTGTTAATCAAATCAAACCTCCAATCAGCTCTAGCCTTGGCTGGGCCCAGTTGCTAGCTGTTTTAATGGCCCTTCATGTTGGATAACCCTCCCAGGGGTGGAGCTGCATGTAAACAGGGATGGCTTCCTATTGGACGAGCCTATACCTGACAGTGACATCATTTGGAAACAACCAATTACCTTTTCTAATTCCAATTTCCACATTTATTTTAAATTGGGACAATAAAACTATTTGGTCTACAGGTCTAAAGCAGGTACAAATCTCTCCAATCTCTCCCACCCCTGTCTCTTTAAAGATCCACTGTCTTCTACAACAAACAACAGATTCCAGTAGATCCTACCGGATTTCTTTTAAATCATTAGATCTCAGTGGATCCTTAAAATCAACTGTAGATTTCCTCCAGTTTTCAAACTGACATAGTGTTATTCTGTCCCCTAACCCCCACCACCCCACCCCTGTGTGTGTGTGTCTGCCTGTGTGCTTGTATGTGTGCCTGCGTGTGTCTGTGTGTGTGTGTACCTGTGTGTGTGTGTGTGTGTGTGTGTATGTGCGTGCGTGCGTACCTGTGTGTGTGTTTGTTCCCTCCTGTGTATGTGTGTCTGTGCATGCCTAAACACAGTGGCAGACCTGTGTGCCAGTGGAGATCATGACTGTCAGCAGGTATGCATCAGCGCACCAGGGTCATTCAAGTGTGCCTGCAAGGAGGGCTTCAGTCTACTGGAGGATGGCAAAAGCTGCAGTGGTGAGTGTGTGTGTGTGAGAGAGTAAGTATGTGTGTGTGTGTGTGTATGTGAGAGTGAGTGTGAGAGAGAATTATAGAATGTATGAGTATTGTAGAATTTGAGTGTGATGTGTAAACACCCCCATCTGCCCCTCCCAGCCTGCAGTAATGCCGCCACAGATGTGGTGTTCCTAATCGATGGTTCTAAGAGCGTGCGTCCAGAGAACTTTGAGCTGGTCAAGAAGTGGATCAACCAGATCGTAGACAAACTGGACGTCTCCGAGACCAAGGCTCATGTTGGACTGGTCCAGTACTCCAGCTCTGTCAAACAGGTGTGTGTGTGTGTTTTTTAATAACATGAGATTACATGGTGAGGTTCACTATTTATTTATTTATTTATTATTGTGAGAAACCTTTGACTAACTGTGATAACTCACAACCTCCCCACCCTCCTCCTCTTCCTCCTCCTCCCGTCTCAGGAGTTCCCTCTGGGTCGTTACAACAACAAGAAGGACCTGAAGGACGCGGTGAAGAAGATGGCCTACATGGAGAGGGGGACCATGACAGGCCAGGCCCTGCGCTTCCTGACAGACAGCAGCTTTGCACCAGCCGGTGGGGCACGGCCCGGGGTCGCCAAGGTCGGCATCGTGTTCACCGATGGACGCAGCCAGGACTACATCGGAGACGCCGCCAAGAAGGCCAAGGAGCAAGGTGAGGGAGGGAAGGAGGGAGAGTGTTTAAGTGTGTGTGAAAGGATGTGTGAATGCATGTGTAGTGATCTCCAAGGGTCAGTCATGTTTATTTTATAACGTTTTACTGTGGATCCACTCTGCATGAGGTATTAAAGTGTTTGTATCTGTCTCTAATCATGGTCTTTCTAACATCCCCCCCCCCCTCCCTCCCTCCCCCTCTTGCTCTCCCTCTCGCTCTCTCCCCCTCACTCTCTCCCCCTCTCTCTCCCCCCTCTCTCCCCCTCCCCCACTCACTCTCTCTCCCCCTTCTCTCTCTCCCCCTCACTCAATTCAATTTAAGGAGCTTAATTGGCATAGGAAACATATGTTTACATTGCCAAAGCAAGTGAAATAGATAATAAACACAAGTGAAATAAACAATAAAAAATTAACAGTAAACATTACACTCACAAAAGTTCCAAAAGAATAAAGACATTTCAAATGTCATATTATGTCTATATACAGTGTTGTAATGATATGCAAATAGCTAAAGTACAAAAGGGAAAATAAATAAACATAAATAAGGGTTGTATTTACAATGGTGTTTGTTCTTCACTGGTTGCCCTTTTTTTGTTGCAACAGGTCACAAATCTTGCTGCTGTGATTGCACACTGTGTGGTATTTCACCCAATTGATATGGGAGTTTATCACTTGCTTAGGGGACTCTTTTCCAGATTCATTTCTCTGTAGGTGATGGCTTTGTTATGGAAGGTTTGGGAATCACTTCCTTTTAGTTGGTTGTAGAATTTTAACGGCTCTTTTCTGGATTTTAATAATTAGCGGGTATCGGCCTAATTCTGCTCTGCATGCATTATTTGGTGTTCTAAGTTGTACACTGAGGATATTTTTGCAGAATTCTGCATGCAGAGTCTCAATTTGGTGTTTGTACCATTTTGTGAATTCTTGGTTGTTGAGCGGACCCCAGACCTCACAACCACAAAGGGAAATGGGTTCTATAACTGATTCAAGTATTTTTTGCCAGATCATAATTGGTATGTCGAATTTTATGTTCCTTTTGATGGCATAGAAGGCCCTTCTTGCCTTGTCTCTCACTCACTCCCCCCTCTCTCTCCTCCCCCCCACTCCCCCTCTCTCTCTCCCCCCCTCCCCCTCTCTCTCTCTAGGTTTTAAGATGTATGCTGTGGGCGTGGGTAATGCTGTAGAGGATGAGTTGAGGGAGATAGCATCAGAGCCAACAGGAGAACACTACTTCTACACCGCAGACTTCAAAGCCATGACGGCCATCGCTAAGAAGCTGCAGATCAACATCTGTCAAGGTCCGAAACACACACACACACACACACCCACACACATTCACACACACACACACAGCTGTTTGAGAGAGCTGGAGTACTGGACCAGTCTAACGTGAGCCTTGGTCTCTGAGACATCCAGTTTTTCTATGATCTGATTGATCCACTTCTTGACCAGCTGCAAGGTTCTCTGGATGCACGATCAGGAACACCACGTCTGTGGCGGCCTTACTGCAGGCTGGGGGGACAAGGGAGGATGAGGGGTGTTAAACACAAACACATCACACTCAAAACTCTGCACTACACATATATTTAATCATTTACTCACTCACTCACTCACACACACCCACAGAATGTCTTTCCTGCTCATAAAGTAAATCTCCACTACCTTGTGTGACTATGCTGTCTGTCTTTATAGAGGAGGATGCATGTGAATGTGACTTTATGCTGTCTGTCTTTACAGAGGAGGACCCATGTGAATGTGACTCTGTCGTTAAGTTCCAGAAAAAAGTAGAAGAAGCCTTACAGGCACTAACGAAAAAACATATCCTTTACAAGAGTGTGAGAGTATGGTAAAGGTGTTGTGTGACCACTGTGTGTTACATCTGTCTTGCTGTGGTTTCCTTGACTCTGATTTCACTGGAGGGCGTGTTGAAGAGGATTACTGCACTGGAGAACAAGATCGTCTGAGTACACACACACCCCAAACTCCCCCCACTACACACACCCTGTTTTTACTTCCTGTTGTGTCTGAAGAGGATGTTATGACCTATGAGTTTTGACCCCCGCCCCCTTTCTCTTTAATTACGCCTCTCTCTTTGCCTCACCTTGTCCATCACTGGGTTCCCTGGAGATGGAGCACCGGTCGCCATGGTAACCCATCTTCTGTCTGTGCCCCTGAAAGTATTCCCCCCCATAGGCAGCCTGTGTGTGCGTTAATAAAAGTCTTCCCTCATAGGGAACCGGTGTTTGTAACACTGAAGGGTCCTATCTTTAAGGTGGCCTGTGCGTGCGCAATGTATAGTCTTCCCCCAGAGGAACAGGACATCAGTTCCATCGATCCTTTTGTTGTTATGTGTCTCTCCCTGCATCTCTCACTCTCATCTCTTCCTTTCCCCTGTTGTCACCATACGAAGGTATCTATTTTGTATGGAATATATATATAAAGGTAATTTAATATAAGATTGGTCTTAAAGATACATGTGTTGATGATTTCTTTATTTTCCTAAATAAAGACATTTCAGCGAGTATACATTGTTAACAGTGGTGATTTTAGCATGTCAATCTTGGTGGGGCAAACATATATATATTTTTTTAATGCATGCCAGCAAAGCCACTTCACAACACAATGCTAAATAATACATGAATTGCACTATAACATTGACAAACGGTGCCCACAAACTGTTAGGGCCTACATAAAGCTGTCCCAACAGCAGAGCTTTCTTTTCAGCATCATGGAGTGAATCCTTACCACTGCTACCCCTGGCTATCAGCGGAGCCTTGTCTGGCAGCAAAACAGTTAATTCAGCCTTGTTTACTGCCTTTAAAAAAAACAGTTTGTGTTGGGGCTGGAGAAGGGGGGGGGGGGGGCACATTGGAATGCAAGATTGGGTCGGTATGTCAGAGAGAAAAGAGGTCTGTTCTGTGTATATGTTTGTGTGTGTGTTTTCAGATAGAGGGTGTTTGCTGTTTGGCTGTAGGGGCCCACTGCCTACCTGATAGAAGAGAGGGGAGAGGATAGCACAGAATGATGCAGTACAGGGAGTACTTTGACATCCTTCCTCTCTCTTTTTTCCTCTGTCAGGTGTTCTCAAATCGAAGCCTGATGTCGGCAGTACTGCTAGTTGTCTGTTCCCCCCAATAGTTCATTGATTGATTGTCATTGATTGGCCAGTGAGGTCTGAATCATTCCCTGATTAGAGGGGAAGACTGGCAACCAGCATTACTTCTGACCTCAAGGATTTGTGGAATGGTGAAGACCTGCCCTTAATGTAGGAAAGGAGGGAAGGATGCATGTCTAAAGTATTGAAATAAGCAAAGGAGAAAAAATGAGGGAACAGGAACGCGTCCGCAGCCTGAATGTAAGCTACAGTCATTAGTAGAGTAATTACTCACACTCGCGCGCACACACACACACACACACACACACACACACACACACACACACACACACACACACACACACACACACACACACACCACACACACACACACACACACACACACACACACACACACACACACACACACACACACACACACACACACACACACACACACACACACACACACACACACACACACACACACACACACATACTGCTCTCAAAGAGCTCATTCAACAACAATTCTACAGTTGGCCAATATACTGAAATTCATAAGCTCGGACACAAACACACACACACACACACACTCTCTCTCTCTCTCGGACAGTTGTTCAGATTTTCAGTATCTTTGTCACTGAAAACATTCACTTTCTGATACACACACACACACACACCATTCACATTAAACTTTTCTCAATCAGTTTACATTGTACATTGGTCAAAAGCATATGCTGATGTATGCGTGTGCGGACACTCACCCACACACACACACACACACACTGTAGGCACACACACTGTAGGCACACACACCTACACATACACACCGCACAGTATAAGAGGATACACTAAAGCTGCCTTACACACACACACACATTTTCCCTAACCCCTAACCCTAAACCTAACCCTAACCTGTACTCTTACCCTAACCCTAACCTTAACCCAAAAACCTAATCTTAACCCTAAACCTAACCCTAGCCACTAACCCTAACCCTAAAACTAACCCTAGTTCCTAACCCTAACCCTTAATGTAATTCTAACCCTAACACTAATTCTAACCTTAACCCTAAACCCCCTAGAAATAGCATTTGACCTTGTGGGGACTAACATAATGTCCCCAGTTGGTCAAAATGTTGTTCGTTTACTATTCTTGTAGGGAATTCTGGTCCCCACAAGAATAGTTAAACACGTCCACACACACACACACACACAGACACACACACCCGGTGACGGCAGTGGTACAGAGGGGGGCTGTCTGTGGGTTGAGTTTGAAGCCGTTGCATTGATAACCAGTAGCTGTGACTGTGAGTCTGTTTGTCCGTCCCGCTTCGCTCTCCTCCTCTCTACCCTCACCCAGTCACTCTCTCCTCCTCTCTACCCTCACCCAGTCACTCTCTCCTCCTCTCTCCCCTCGCCCAGTCACTCTCTCCTCCTCCCTACCCTCGCCCAGTCACTCTCTCCTCCTCTCTCCCCTTGCCCAGTCACTATCTCCTCCTCTCTCCCCTTGCCCAGTCACTATCTCCTCCTCTCTCCCCTCGCCTAGTCACTCTCTCCTGGGCCACCGCTCTAGGACTGTTCTCCCTCTTCTGTAGTGCTTAGGTCGTTTTTGGTCCCTTTTTGGTTCTTTTTGGGTCCTGTTCCAGTTGGATCCTTCAGTCATCATGATACCCTCTCCACCGTTGTTCCTGCTGCTGCTCAGTCACATGGGAGCTCACAACACCACTAACCCTAACCCCAAATCCTATTTTCCCTAACCCTAAACCTAACCCTAACCTTAACCCAAAAACCTAACCTTAACCCTAACCCTAAACCTAACCCTAGCTCCTAACCCTAACCCTAAAACTAACCCTATCTCCTAATCCTAAACCTAAACCTAATTCTAACCCTAACACTAATTCTAACCTTAACCCTAAACACGTCCACACACACACACACACACACTCTCTCTCTCGGACAGTTGTTCAGATTTTCAGTATCTTCGTCACTGAAAACATTTACTTTCTGATAAACACACACACACACACCATTAACTTGAAACTTGTCTCAATCAGTTTACATTGAACATTGCTCAAAAGCATATGCTGATGTACAGTAGCTTGCGAAAGTATTCACCCCCCTTGGCATTTTTCCTATTTTGTTGCCTTACAACCTGGAATTAAAATGGATTTTTGGGGGGTTTGTATCATTTCATTTACACAACATGCCTACCACTTTGAAGATGCAAAATATTTTTTTGGGGTGAAACAAACAAGAAATAAGACAAAGAAACAGAAAACTTGAGCGTGCATAACTATTCACCCCCCCCCTAAAGTCAATACTTTGTAGAGCCACCCTTTGCAGCAATTACAGCTGCAAGTCTCTTGGGTTATGTCTTTATAGCTTGGCACATCTAGCCACTGGGATTTTTGCCCATTCTTCAAGGTGAAACTGCTCCAGCTCCTTCAAGTTGGATGGGTTCCGCTGGTGTACAGCAATCTTTAAGTCATACCACAGATTCTCAATTGGATTGAGGTCTGGGCTTTGACTAGGCCATTCCAAGACATTTAAATGTTTCCCCTTAAACCACTCAAGTGTTGCTTTAGCAGTATGCTTAGGGTCATTGTCCTGCTGGAAGGTGAACCTCTGTCCCAGTCTCAAATCTCTGGAAGACTGAAACAGGTTTCCCTCAAGGATTTCCCTGTATTTAGCGCCATCCATCATTCCTTCAATTCTGACCAGTTTCCCAGTCCCGATGAAAAACATCCCCACAGCATGATGCTGCCCCCACCATGCTTCACTGTGGGGATGGTGTTCTCGGGGTGATGAGAGGTGAGTTTGCGCCAGACATAGCGTTTTCCTTGATAGTCAAAAAGCTCAATTTTAGTCTCATCTGACCAGAGTACCTTCTTCCATATGTTTGGGGAGTCTCCCACATGCCTTTTGGCAAACGCCAAACGTGTTTGCTTATTTTTTTCTTTAAGCAATGGCTTTTTTCTGGCCAATCTTCGGTAAAGCCCAGCTCTGTGGAGTGTACGGCTTAAAGTGGTCCTATGGACAGATACTCCAATCTTTGCTGTGGAGCTTTGCAGCTCCTTCATGGTTATCTTTGGTCTCTTTGTTGCATCTCTGATTAATGCCCTCCTTGCCTGGTCCGTGAGTTTTGGTGGGCGGCCCTCTCTTGGCAGGTTTGTTGTGGTGCCGTATTCTTTCAATTTTTTAATAATGGATTTATTGGTGCTCCGTGGGATGTTCAATATTTCTGATATTTTCTTATAACCCAACCGTGATCTGTACTTCTCCACAACTTTGTCATTGACCTGTTTGGAGAGCTCCTTGGTCTTCATGGTGCCGCTTGCTTGGTGGTGCCCCTTGCTTAGTGGTGTTGGAGACTCTGGGGCCTTTCAGAACAGATGTATATATACTGAGAGCATGTGACAGATCATGTGACACTTGGATTGTACACGTGGACTTTATTTAACTAATTATGTGACTTCTGAAGGTAATTGGTTGCACCAGATCTTATTTAGGGGCTTCATAGCAAAGGGGGTGAATACATATGCACGAACCACTTTTCCGTTATTTATTTCTTTGAATTTTTTGAAACAAGTTATTTTTTTCACTTCACCAATTTGGACTATTTTGTGTATGTCCATTACATGAAATCCAAATAAAAATCAATTTAAATTACAGGTTGTAATGCAACAAAATAGGAAAAACGCCAAGGTGGATGAATACTTTTGCAAGGCACTGTATGCGTTTACACACACACACACACACACACAGTGGCGGCAGTGGTACAGAGGGGGGTTGTCTGTGGGTTGAGTTTGAAGCCGTTGCATTGATAACCAGTACAGTGAGGGAAAAAAGTATTTGACCCCTGCTGATTTT